CTCAGGCGTAATCTGCACTGAAGAAAGAGAGCAGATGTTCACTTCCTATTGCTTTTATTCAGCCACCCTGTTTCACCCTTCCTCAGTCACAACTGGAGGAAGGCAGCAAGAAAAAATCTTCCAGTTGATCCAATAATCTACTTTGGAATTATTCCTCTGCATCGTGATTTGCCAAGAGAAAATTTCTCACAGTTTGTTTCCCCTAATCTCACAGGGCTGTTTGCCACACTATATTCCAACCAATGTAATGAGGGATACAGCAGAAAGCTAGGAAGCAGTGAAATGGAGAAGAGGTGTTGTTTGCTGAGCTTTCATATTTTCATTGCTCTAATTGCTCAGTTCTAGTCTGCAGGGAAGGTCTAAATGCCATCTAAACAGAATGTTGTCTTATGAGGCTAAAAAGCACTGAACTGCACCAAACTTCAAAGGTAGACTTTTGGCAATTGTGAACATTGTATGCTCTCCCTTTGGGAAAAGATCTAAGGAGCTCTTGCAACCTTTTAGAGCTCCTTTACGTCCTTTTAGAATCCTGTGTTTGTATTAAAACATTATCCAAGACAAGGAATACTTATTAAAAGTAAATGAAAAATTACCCAGAGCCAATTAATACTTACTTAAACCTTTGCCTTAGATAGCAAAGCACATTATGTCTAAACTTCTGGTGCGTTTCTTTGAGTTCAAGATGAAAAACATACTTATCTGATGGAGATTTTATAAGGAACCTACACCCAAGTACGTTCGAGTGCCAAGTACAGAAATCGTGTTACTTGTCAGAAGTAGTGACAGAAATACTGTGAGTGAGCTGAGAGGAGGCAATGAAGGCTCAGCATTCACACATTGGAGCTATACAGAGGACACAAAAAACATTCAACTGTAACATTACAACAATCAGAAATTTATACACATGGTCAGCTTCAACAGCAGCTTTCAGAGTCCTATTTCCTGGAGGCAGCAGAGCCTCCTTTATAATTTCCTTTGCTCATTTAAGATGTGTTTATTAAATCTTTTGTCTTTACCAACCAACACTGGCTGCAAAGGACTGAGAAGAAAGTCTTACTTTGGAACTAAGAAAACGCAGTATGTTTTCTTCTTGTCGCTTAACCTATGATTACAGTCAATATCTGGGGTAATACAGATTAGTGTTCTTCAAATAATAGGAAAATTCAGGTAATGTAGGTACTGCAGAGTTCACTGTAAACACAAAAGTATCTGCAGGTAGAGCTGATACCAGAGCTGATAAAATAAGTTAGATGCAATTCATCACAGCTTTGTGCAGAACTTTTGTGTCTCCTGGGAGGGCAGTACTGGTTTCAAGCTGGCTCTGCAACTCTGCAGCAGCAAGTCCTGATTGTTGCTACAGTGCAGTCGTGACTCCAGCTTTGGGTGCAAAGAAGACAGAGGCGTGTTCTTTTCAGTGGTGCCCAGTGCCAGAACAAGAGGCAATGAGCGTTAACTGGAATACAGAAGGCTCTGTCTGTACATCAGGAAGTATTTCTTCACTGTGAGGATGATGGAGCACTGCCACAGGTTGCCCAGAGAGGTTGCAGAATCTCCCTGCTTGCTCTGGGTGTTCCCCTGCGTGAGCAGGGCTGGTTGAACCAGATGACTATTTCTGACTTCCAGAGGAAATTAAAAAAAAACATCATCATCTGTAACTGTTTTTTTAAACATGCTTTAAAAAGATACTTAAAAATGAATTTCTGATTTCTGCCTAGATTGAAAAACAAAAATGGAATCGGAGTGTATCTCACTTACTTTTCTTGAAGACAGCGCGTAGCTTCTTTTTCTGCCAGACGCTGAGGCATACACACAAAGGCAGGAGAAATGCTATGCACAACAGCCCTGCTACAGCGAGAGAAATTCTGATAATGTCCATCTGGAGGTCCCTCCCTAGGAAGAAGCAAACAACAGAACAAAATTCTACTGCATGTAAATTAGCCAGCTTTCTTGTCCCCATCTCAATCGGTCTGCTTCTAAATTAGTCTGCAGTACTGGAAATGGGTATGAGAAAGGAATCCTACTTCCAGTGGTAAGTGAATGAGCAATAGCACGTTTCACAGTTAGTCCTGATTCTTCAGCTCTAAAAGCAACGTTGTACAATGACTCACCTGGCACAGCGATAGGAAATGGAACTGCAGGAGAAGTGGTGGGTAAAGTGGTGGCTAAAGTGGGATTATCTGGACTGTGTTTGCAAACCACATCTTTTGTTGAGGTTCCAGGCTGCAGCACCTGGTTTTCAGAACATCTGAAAAACATTTAAAGAAAGAAAAAGAAAAGCAATGGAAAAAAAATCCAGTCAAGTTAAAGCATTTAGTTGTGTTGCTTACATTGTCCAGTTTTTACAAGAGCCATCAGGCTGATCATTAAAAGTTCCATAGGGGCAAGTCTGGCAACCTGCAACGGACAAGGAGAGGTATGTTAGTACAAGGTGAGTATTTAAAAGAACACATGAAATGTTACTCATGACTGTTCATAGAATTGTTATAAGTTGCTGTGAGTACACAATCATGGAATCACAGTATGGTTGAGTTGAAAGGTTCCTTACAGCCTCTCCATCCCAGCTGTAGGCTGGCTGCCCCTCACCAGCTCAGGCTGCCCAGTGCCCCATCCACCTCTCACTAGGCACCTCCAGGGGCACCCACACTTCTCTGGGTTGCAGTGCCACGGTCTCACCAACCTCTGAGTACAGAACTTCCTCCTAATATCTAATCTAAATCTCCTCTCTTTTAGTTTAGAATTGTTTCCTCCAGTCCTCTTGTTATTGGACCACACAAAAAGTAGGTCTCCCTCCTGCTCATAAGTTCCATCAAATACTGGAGTACAAGGCATGTGTTTCCCTGTGCCCATCCCTGTGAGCTACGTGAGCTTTGTACCAGCATGATACTTGGGTACGGTTTCCTACACGGTGTTGACAAAAGAGCTGTCATGCAAAGGGAACCAATGAGGCACAGTTTCAGGAGCTCAGGAGGTCCTTCATGCAATTTTTTCTGCGCTACACAAGAGGTGGTGAAGGGAGATCGTACCGCTCCCAGTTCTCTCCTTGCCCAGCCCACAGCTTCTGTCACAGCGGGAGCAGCCATCGTCACTGCAGCGATATCCCTCCTTGCACGTGCACTCAGCGTCACTTATTGGTGAACACACCTTTAAGTACTTGAATCTTCCTGGAAGGAGGAAACGAGCATGATGTTACACGTGCTTCAAGCACACACAACCTGGTGCAGCAAAGGTCCAGGTCGTTTGCTCTTACAGAAATTAAGCTGCCCAGCTCAGAGAGAGGTCCAAGAAGTTTGAATTAGAAGGGACCCTTAAAGGTCACTTGGTCCAACGCACTGCAATGCAAGAGACACCCACAGCTCCACCAGGGACTGAGAGCTCCTCCAGCCTGGCCTTGGCTGTTTCCAGGGATGGAGCATCACCACCTGTGCCCAACGTGCTTCACCACCCTTACTTTAAAAAAAACTTCTTCTTTACATCCAATCTTTTTTAGTTCCCTTCATCCTGTCACAGCAGACCCTGGTAAAAGCACTGTCCCCTTCTTTCCTACAGCCCCTTTAGACGCAGACGGGCTGCTCTCAGCTCTCCTCGCAGCCTTCTCTTCTCTGGCTGCACAGCCCAGCTCTCTGTCCGCGCAAGGCGCTGCTCCATCCCTCGGAGCTTTTCTGGCCCTACCGCGGATGCTCTCCTGCAGGTCTGCGTCTGCCCCGTACTGCGAGCCGCTCATCTGGCACAGCGCTGCAGGCGGGGCTCCGTAGCGCAGAGCAGAGGTGCGAATGGCTCCTCCGCGCTGCTGGCCGCGTTGCCATGGGTGCAGCGCACGGCACCTCCGGCTGAGCCCACCCGCCGTCCAGCAGCGCCCCACGAGCGGTAACAACGAGCCGAACGGCAGCTCTTAACCCCTGATACCTTCGCACTTGCGGCACAGTTTGCAGCTGCTGGCTCCCACCGCGCTGGAGAAGGTGTCGGACGGGCACTGCTGGCAGTTCGCTCCCCGCCCGCAGCCCGCGCCGGCCACGAAGGTACCTGCAGGAGAGACACGGAGGCTGTAGAGAAGCGCCGCCGGGGCTCGCAGCGCGGCCCGGCCCGGCGCTCACCCGCGGGGCAGATGGCGGCGCACGGAGCGGCGGCCGCGAGCGCCGGGCTCAGCGCCAACAGCAGCGCGGCGCGCAGCAGCGGGGCGGCCGCTCCCATGGGGTCGGTGTGCGGCGGAGCGGCGCTCCCGAGTGCGCGTGTGGCGGCGGGCAGCGGCCCTTAGAGCCGCCCCCAGCGGGACGGCTGCGTCACCCGGGGGCGGTGGGGAAACCCCGGCCCAGCGGGGCTTTCCGGGCTGCGGCGAGACCCTCGTCCTGCCGGGCAGCGCCCGCGCGGACCGCCACCTCGGCGCTGCCGGGCAGAGACCAGCGCTCCCCGCCGGGGCTTCCCGCTGAGCGTCGAGGAATCCCCGCGGTGGGTGCGGGAGTCCGGCCCGGTGCCGTCCCGCGTGGTGCGGGGTGACCGGCTGCGAGCGGCCGCAGAGGGTGGAGGGGAGACATCGCGAGCCGCCCCCCCCCCCGGAGCGTGGAAACAAACCGCGCCGTGGGCGGCAGCGCGGGACGAAGCGCAGCGCCGCAATGGGCGAGAGGCGTCGCTACAGACACGTGACTTGTCGGAGCCGTCGGACGCTACACGGATGCGAAGCCCCGCCCCCTGCGGCTTCCCACAGCCAATCCCCGGTTGCGTCAGCGTCACGTGCCGTCCGTCAGCGAGGGCGCGAACGGTGCGTGCAGCCGCGGGCTCAGGGGTGGGCGCGGGGCGGGTGGCTCGCGCCTCAGCAGCGGGGACGGGGCGGCAGCGATGGCGCCGAGGCCACCCGTCACGAAGCGCAGCGCCGTTTGGCCGCGGTGCCACAGAGACGAATGGGAGTATTTCCCCAGAACACGCGGGAAAGATTTAAGTAATGGATGGTCGGGTATCGCCAGCAGCACGCAGCCCGCCCTGCGGCACGGCCGTCAGCGGCCTCCCGGCGGCCCCGCCCAGCCGGAGGCGGGGCCGTGCGGGGCGGGGCGGGGCCGTGCGGAGCCGCGGCGGTGTGAGGTGAGGTGGGAGTCGCGCGTGGGGCCGTGCGGGGCCGTGCCGGGCCGCGAGACGCCGCTGAGGGAGTCTCGAGCCCGATAGTGGTGGGGGGGCCCTGAGGCCGCTAGTTCGGCTCCGTTCGGCCGCTGGTTCGGCTCCTTTCGGCCGCTGGTTCGGCCCCGTTCGGCCGCTGGCCCGGCGAGAAGGCCCAGCCCGTCGCTTCCCGGTCTCGGTTTGCCGCCGTCCTGCTGCGCTCCGTCCGCGCTGTGGCCCGTTGGTTTGTCCGCTGATTCGCTGCGTCCGTCCGTAGAACGGCCGCGGTCGGAAGGGACCTTAAAGGTCGCCCGCTTCCAACCGAAATAGTGCTGCGTCCTAAAATGAGCGCGTAAAGACGTGACCTTTCATCGAAGGCAGACTGAGCCGCCAGCCCTGCGCCGTGCCAGCCCTGTGGGAGCGCTGCGTGCCGAGGAACGAGTGGGGAAGCTGCGCTGTGACTGTTCTGATCCGTAAGAAAATGCGGGCAGAATAAACGTGCGCCTTCCAGAGAAGCTGTTCTGGGACGCCCGCAGGCCGTGCCGCACGCGCGGCTCACATCGTGACGGGAGCGCTCGCTGCGCCCCGAGTCGGTCAGGTCTGCATGCCGCAGGGCGTCCTGCTGGACGCAGCCTGGAAATAACGGCTTTCTAACAGATGCCAACTGGAAATACGGCAGCTGAGACAGAGGGAGGGATGGTTTTCTTTGGTGGAGACGACTGGGCATGGATCTCATTTTATGAGGAGCTCCTGGGTGCAGATGCAGATCTGTGCATGGGAGGAAGAGATCTACCTCAGTGACAGACCTGCCAAATGCCTCCTCTCACATTGTGGAGGCATTCAAGGACTTCTGTCGGACCAGCATAAGTTAATGTGGATTTTTACGTGATGTTGTTACTTAACCTTCAAATGGAAATTTGGTCGTTCACCTCAGCGTGAACTTTGTAGCTAAAAAAATAATTCTTAAGCTGAGTTTGCGCCGTTTGTTCCATTTTCTAAATTCTGTGGTCTGCTCCCCCGTCACATGTGTGCACACGTTTCTCCGCCACTCAGTTATGAAATACTCAGAAAAGCTATGGCTGAGGGTTTGCAGGGGCGCCGGTCGAGTCATTATTAAGTCACAGGAAACTTAACAAAGTGTGGAAACTAAATACCAGCTGTGAGGTCAAAGCTCACAGAAGCTCTTTTTATAAGTGCTGACCTGGGTAGGAGTTGGTAGTCTGGGTATGAGTGAGGGCAAACTGCAGACAGCCCAGCCACCCACCCTGAGCCCTTCTGTGGCAGACTGAAGTTACGTCAGGTTATGATGGGGCCAAAGTGTTTCATGTTCCGCTGCTGACGTGCTGTGCTTCCCACTGCACAGATGTGTTGGTTGTGTTACAGCGTGTGCTTTGTAAAAAAAGCTCTTAGGATTGCTGTGTATGTCACTTAAGCTGGTGAACTGTTTTTGAGATGGCTTAATTGAAAGATAGTGCAGAAGTGCAAATTACTTTTAAACTTTACTGTTAGGAAGACTTCACACAAGGGGATCTGCCTTCTAATGTCACCCTGCTCACAAACTTCTCTTGCATTTGCAGTCCCTTCAGACATGGCTTCGAAAAGAGCATTGGTGATTCTGGCGAAAGGGGCAGAGGAAATGGAAACTGTCATCCCCACCGATGTTATGAGAAGAGCTGGGGTGAGTACGTAGACAATGAAGAATCTGTTTTTTTCATGATTGCTTGGTATCATCAAAATCTGGGCCTCAAATTCAAGTTCAGAGTGTACTCTGATACATGATGTCAATGTTCGCCTGAGCTGCCTTACTAGTTAGCTGGTACTTGTGTTGCACAGCAAATAGGGAGGAATGACATTTGTCCTTAGGAAGCGTTTAAAATGTGAGCCTAAAGTAAACTACAGCAGATGTTTCAAGTAAGTCTTACCCTACCAAACGTGTCTGCTGCCCTGCTGAGCAGTAGGGGCTTTCATTTGTTGTGTAGGGTTCTGAACTGCTTTGTTTTCTTCAAGCTTACGGTGTTACACAGCTCTACCTGAGCTTTGGAAATTCTGTTAGTAACTTGACCTGTGCCTGGTGGGATTCCTCATGTTCTTTGTTACTTCTGCATTAGGAGTTGTACACAGTATTGTATTCTGATTAAGTATGAAAATAAAATTTTAAATACATACAATAACTGAACACTGACAGAAAGGACTAAAATAAAAACTACCTTTCCCCAATGCTCTTGTGATTTTGTTAATGTTCTCCTTTTTTGGGTTCTGTAGGAAGTACAAGCTTGTCAAATGTCTTTAACTCTTGAACTGCAATGACAGATGTATTCTTCTGTTAGATCAAGGTGACTGTTGCAGGCCTGACTGGGAAAGAACCGGTGCAGTGTAGTCGAGATGTCCTCATTTGTCCTGATGCCAGTCTAGAAGATGCCAGAAAAGAGGTTTGTCATCATCTTGAATTGATACAATGATTAGTATGGCCTTCCTGTGAATTCTTAAAGCCTTTTGAAATGTGTTGCATGTTATGTTCACTCTGTTATGTGCAGTTCTGCAAGTCACTATGGCACATCAGTCCCTTCTGTCTTCTACTTCACAGCAGGCCAAGATCAGATTTGGTTTTGCACAATGTCAGACATGGAGCTTTATTTCACATGTTGGTCAGCCCACCAAAATACTCTGATCGGACACAGCAAAAAAAGCTTCTGATGGAAAGCTGTACAGCAGAAACATTTGTCTTCACAATAGAAGAGCTACCATTTGCTTGTGGAGGCTCTTAAAGTCACTGGACTTAGAAGTGTGTTCATAGGCTTCATAGGCTGTTCCTGGAAATATTTTTTACATAATTATTTCCAATTATTTGCTTTTCAAGTGTCATTCAGTGGAAGAAAAGGCTTCTCAGTGAAGGATCCCTTTGCTTCTCAATTCACTTAGCTGTACTTTCCCTAGAACAACGTGACAGATAACTATCCTCTGTTCAACAAAGCTTATCTGTTTGTTTAGGGACCTTACGATGTCATTGTCCTGCCTGGAGGTAACCTTGGAGCTCAGAACTTGTCAGAGGTAAAGTCCTGGTATCGTAAAGATTCGGAAGCATTCTCGTGTGCAGTAGATGGTCTGCACTCGCATAGTAATAATGCAAGTTCAGTTAAACAACTGAAAATTCTATTCTGAGTGAATCATTAAGAGGTAAGTAATTGTTAATAGTGTTAAGCTTTCTTAGAAATGTTGAGGAGGGATGTAAATTCTGGTACCTGACTACCTGGTTAAGCTGTGTAAAAATGGAAGGCTGCTCAATAGAAGGTCGGTCTTCATCATCATATGAAGATGAAATGGTTGCAAATGAAGATTTAATTTCATGTACATTGGAGCAGGTTAAATCCACATCACTCTCCCTGTCCTGAGACGGGATGGAATGTTGTCAGGCTGTTTTTCTTTGTAAATCTTGTTCATAAAAATGCAGTAGAAAATGGTTCAAATGGTGCTTTGTATGATCAACCCAAATAATCAACTCAAAGCAATGACTTTTTTTTATCTTTGTTCAGTCTGCTGCTGTTAAAGACATCTTGAAAGATCAGGAAAGCAGAAAAGGCCTGATTGCTGCTATATGTGCAGGTGGGTTAGTAACACATCTTCCTTTGATAAATACTTGGGTATTTTGAAAGGACAGGCAAGCAGTCATCCTGGCTTAGAAATTTATATTCCTGTAACTTAGTTATAGGAATTTGTGCTACTGAGCAAACCCATCAGCATTTGAATTTTTCAATCAGTTGGGTTAGTGTCTTAACAAATGAAAACTTTTTGTTGGCTGTAATGGAAATGCTGTCACAAGCTGAAGCAGAGATGGTGCACCTGGTGTGAAGGCAGGGCCAGCCCAGGGAAGCTCAGGTGTGTGCAGTGAACCTGAGTGATAGGAGGGCTGGAGCCAGGATCCTCCCCTTCCAGCCCTCATTTAAGGGTTGGCTGTGAAAGTGAGAGTATTTCTCTTGAGTTCTCTGTGTAGCTGAGGCCTTCTGAGGGTAAGTAGCTTCTTTTTGTTGTTTCTGTGTGTGCAGCTGCCACCTTTTAGCAAGTCCTTATTTGCTGTAGCCTGGGACTTTGTTGCTCTGCTGTCATTGCTGACTTTTCCATTGCGTTACAGGCTTTTTAGTTTGGGGTTGTTTTTTCGTTTTTTTTTTTTTTTAAAATATCTGCTTATTTTCTGTGTGAGGACACAGTGCTGGCAGAATATCGTTGCTAAAAATTTATCTCATGACTCTTCTGCCCTTTGGCTTTAGTAGGGTGGCTGTAAATACAGTGTTACAGGCTCACCTTCGATGGAGCGGTACTAAAATATGGAATTACTCTGCAGAGAGGCTTGTTTGCTCATGTGTTCTGCATGGCTAGATATCTAGTTCACTTCTTCATGTGACCTGTATATAAGGAAGAAAGACAAGATGAAAAATTGTCAGTGCTCCCAGCTGATCAGAGAGAGCGGTCTGGGGGCATGTGAGGGAGACTGAGGAGCATGATGATGACTGTGTGAGAGATGCTCTAACGGTGTGTATTTGTAGCACGTGTTCATATCTTGCATGGTTCATAGCTGCTTTTTATTTTGTTTTCATTCTTCAGTTGAGCACTATGCATACAAATTTGTGAGCAGTTCTGAATGTGGTGCTGGTAGTCTTTTCCATCTCTACCCACAGCTGTTGCAGAATGACTGTAATTGTTCTCAGTTGCCCAGTGAAGTCCTTTGCTTGTATTCAGGACACTTTGTTTATTTTAGCTTCTCCAGCTGAACACAAAGGAAATTTGTCCCTTGTTGCTTCATTTTCTGAAATGAATCAGATATGCAGAAATGAACTTGAATCAGGCAAATCCTGCATTCAGTTTCTTCTGGAATTCCCGTAAGGATTTTTTCTTGGGTGACCTAAGGCAACTTTACTCAAGCTCCTTCCTCAATTCAGGCAAAGGAGGAAGTGATGAAAAGAGAAAGAGAAAGAATGTTAAAACTGAGAAGTTAGCTGTTAACCCATCGTCTGTCCAAAATGCTGCTTGGGGTGTGATTCCAACACATAAAGACCTTTTCAAATGAAATTTTATCTGTTAATGCTTAAATGGCAGAAAAGTTTATCACAGATGTGACTGTGCGTCCTTACAGGTCCTACTGCCCTTCTGGCACATGGGATAGGATTTGGAAGCAAAGTCACAACACATCCTTTGGCCAAAGATAAAATGATGAATGGAGGTATGTAATTAATTTTATAAATTTATTTCTAAACTCTTCTCAAAGTTTTTTATCCCAACTCTTAATTTAAAGAAAAGCAAATAGCATTTGCATCTCATTCTGTATCTCTGAGTTTCCTTAGTGTTTCCATATAAATAATCAAAATTCAACTGAATGTACTATCTTTAAGTCAATTTAACTTGGAAATACAAGGCTATGTTTACATTCTCATCTTCAGGAAAACAATGCTGCTGCTGCAAGCACTTTTTTGCCATGTTACCTTCTGTCATTTTGGTTCTTTGTTTTGTTGGCCCAAACAGCAAATCCCAGCAGCACCTTTTCTGCTTTCCCAGTGCTTTGGTGCTGTGAGCAGCCAGCAGGCCCAGCTGTCTTTCTCATACCAAAGTAAGGTGCTGGTGAAACACTGTTCAGATCTATGGACGTTAACAAGTCTGGAGGGGGGGAGGAGATGGCAGCATTCCTCTGGTTTCCTCTGCGCGCATTTAGAGAAGAGAAAGATGTGAACACATGGCTTCTTGATAAGCTTGTAGATAGGTGCACTTGTATGCCCTGTGAACAGGCTGGCAGAGCTCCTGTAGGGCTTCTTCCTCTCTGAGAGCTGTAGGCAGCGATAAGTTGCTTGGTTCTGCAGGGACAGGGGTCAGAGCCCATGATGTGAGCTATGGAGGTGTGTGCTCTCGAATGTGATGCTGGTGTCAGAGCCTGCTGCTCCTCAGTTGCCGTAGCCTGTGAGCAGGCAGGTCTGTGCTCTGTGGCACTGTACTGGAGACTGACCCTCTTGTTGTTGTGTCGCCCCTAAGCTCACTACTGCTACTCCGAGAGCCGTGTGGAGAAAGATGGGAACATCCTCACCAGCCGTGGCCCTGGTACCAGCTTTGAGTTTGGGTTGGCCATTGTTGAAGCACTGATGGGGAAGGAAGTGGCTGAACAAGTGAAGGCACCCCTAATATTGAAAGACTGAAATGCTGTTGTGGGACGTGGAGTAGAACAATTTCAGGTGGAGAGTCTTGTCCTTTGGAATAATTGAAAGATGCACAATGTAGTTGTGGATGAAATTAGCAGCTGTGCTCACCCGACTTAGAGTATCTTACCAGTTTTTATTCCTGGAAGAAAATTCTGTTAGCAAAAGACTTTATCATCATTAGCATGATTAGATAAATAATCTTAGCTCTTGGCATTTCAAAATCGCATGGATAAATGTTGCTGATTAAATAAAAACAAACCAACCTTGATTGTGTGTTGTTTCTTTGTGCATTTTCTCCCATCCCAGACCTATGAAATATTTGCTGGCTCCGTGTTTGGTCATATAGATGTTTGCTGCTATGTAGCCTGGTTGGAAGTGCCTTAATTTTTGAAGAGACTGCTCACAGGTTCTAGAATTTGGGAGTCTCTGAATGAGTGTGCCCAGAAGAGACGTATTTTTTTGAGGTTCTTAGGCTAGTTGGTTTCCCTGTATTGTATTTCAGTGAGTTATTTTGGGGAAGATTGTTCCAAAACCATTATAAGTGAGTTGTTATGAGCTCTGCTAAGAAGTCACTGCTCACTTCCACATACATGCAGTTCAAACTCCCACTTTCTCCTGTGTGGTTTTTTGTTTGTTTGTTTTTGTTTTTAAAGTGTTAGTTGGAGAAAGTCCTCTTGCAGTGAAGTCGCCAGCTAGGTGAGATAGCGAGCGGCAGGCAGGAAGCAAATTGCCTCAAACAGTAATGAATCTGGACTCTGGTAAGCACAGCACCATCGTTTGCATTTTTAACAGGAAATTTGTTAGGTGGGGAACTGCTGCCTGTAAGAAAATTGGCAACAGAGGATGTTACTTGTGCTAGCTTCTCTTGTCTCTTCTAGCATGTTACTCACTTGCTCTTCTGCTGTGCTTTTCTTTTGATTGTGGAGAGGAGGGGGTAGGAAGTCATCTACAGAAATGTGGGTGCAGCGGAGGGTACTGCCAAGCAGCTTGGTGTCAATGCTGTGATAGAGGAAGCCCAGGGCAGCATGAGCTCACCCTCATGTGGGGCCTGCACATCCCTGGCTTCCTCTGCTGTGTCCCTGGCAGTGGGCTTTTTAAGAAATAGCAGCTTTCTTTCCTCACCATGCTGCTCTGGAGCGTGCAGCAGCAGCCTGCCTTGCGCAGGGATTGCTTTTGGTCGAGTTGGTCTGATTAAATGTAGATGGCTGGTATGGCCTGAGAGATGCACTGTGTCTGGAGCAGGCTGGTCCATCAGAGGCCTGAGGCTGAGCAATCTTGAGCTGACTTCTCTGTGTCCTTATCTAATACCAGGACTGGGCTGCAGACGTCAGTATGGTCTTCCAGTCAAAAGGTTGACTGGGGTTCGCGGTTGTTCCTAAGGATGGCACCATGCTTGGACAATACTTCTGTGGATTGCCCTCCAGCATAGAGTGTCAGGTGATGAATGAAACCTGTAGCAGAAAATCGTCTCCTCCTCACCCCTGAACACATGTGTTTAGGCTGTTCTTTAACAAAACTGTAGCATTAAGTCATTTAAATTGAAGCTAAGAGCTAGACAGCTCATTCTTCTTTCAGGCTTTTCCTTCAGCTTTGCAGCCTCGTGCTGGTCCCCATCAGCTTCTGTGTAAAGCCAGGATTCACTTACTCGCTTCATTGCCATCCATTTTTAAGAGTAGCTCTTGGACTCTTGTCTGTCCCTGTGGCTTTTAATGGAGTGAGCACTGCCAGTCAGTGGGTGTTATTTGTTTTGTTTCCTTGTTTTCTTTTTAAACATGATGAGACCCTCCCCCAACCCCAGCAATTTTAACCTAGTGAGCAATGGTATCTGTCAGGGTGTACACTGACCTCCGCTCTGAGTTGCTAGAGGCTTTGGTGCCACGTGCCTGTTGGTGCACTGAAGTGATACAGATTCTGCATCATAACAGCACAATGCCCATTCAAATTGCTTAAGCTCTAAAGACAGGTGCTCAAGCAGGATGCAGGGAAACTTTTCTTGAGTAGCTTGTCAATGTGACAGATAACAAATGAAGTCACCATGTGCAAACTAATATGGTTGGAGTACTTGGTTTCTTCTGGCCCTTGCTCAACATCCAGTAAATGACATGGAGGGGCTGCAACAAGTAACCTGCCTATCGTTAGTGTCTCACTCACACATTGCTAAGTAGCAATTGGATTCAATGTGGCACAAACTGGGGTGCCCTTCTCTGGAACTGGGGATTTCCCTGGTCTTGAAGCATAAGGACTGTTCAGCATGTAGGTTTGGGTGTATGTTCTTTTCCTTTTCTGAAGGATACTCAGTAGTTCTGGTCCTTCCCTTCAGGTTGCTGTGAGAATAAGAAACTCATTAACATGGTAATTTTTTTTTTTTTTTTGGGGGGGGGGGAGGGGGTGGAAGGGGGAAGGGTCAGACCTGATGATTGTAAGCTTCATGTGGAGGTTTTGTGCATTGATGGCTTCAGTGTTTTATTCTGGTGGCTCTTTGTATACCTGTGAATAGATTCAGGGTGACAACAGTGGGATCATTTGGCATCTTTCTCTTTTCTCTCATGTTTCACAGCAGTATATTTGCACTCTTTTTCCTTTGTGGCTTTAAGATGCTGACACTCTGGGTGACAGCCATAATGCTGAGTGATCTTCAGAAAGAAGCTGCAGGTTTTAAACAGGGAAGCATCTCTTCTTCTGAATCACTTTGTAAGAAAATGAATAGCAGTAACGATTACCATGTTTCAGTGGCACACCACTTAAAATATGGAATACCTAACACCTTTCTCAAAATTAACCACAACTAGGATCAAGGTGCATGCCAATATATAAATAATAGAGCAACAGTCTATGAGCAATCACAGGTGTGGCTTCCGTATATGATTCAGAAGAAGTAATGAGCTGTGTGGATGAAAATAGGCATTTAGGCAGTTATTATGCAAAGCCTGAATTACAATGCAGGATGGGTGGTGGTAACACCTCGCTCAGTTTATACAAATGCTAATCACAAGCTCAGCAGCCAGAAATCTCTGCAATGGTATTTAGTAAATATTAATAAGTATAATTAAAATTTGTGTGCTAGATTTAGTGCCAAAGAACTATGAGAAACAGAAAATTTACCATACGTTTTAAATGAATATAAGCTATTTGGGAAAACAAGCTATGGAGCAAACGAAATACTGAGCTAGACTGAAGGTGAGGGGATGTAAGTGGGGGCTTTTTTATTTATTTATTTATTTATTTATTTATTTATTTATTTATTTATTGCAAGAATGCCCAACATACACAAAATCAGTGGAATGCCTGACTGCAAGGAGCCTATGGACAGACTGCTGCATTTTGTTACTGATCGCTTTCAGGACAGAAACTTGAGAGTGTGTCTTTTAGAAATGTTTGTAGGGCTCTCGGTTTGTAGTCATGATTTTGTTGGGTGGGAATTGCACCATGTCCAGTCATCGTCTTAATCCTGAATTTCAGATAGGACTCAGTCTGGACACCTTTTTAAATGGTGTCCCATAAAAGCCGTGCTAACCTCCCTGACATTAGCTGCTTAAGAGTGAGTTACCCTGGTGGAAAACTCAGTTAATGGCATTCTTTGAAGTCACTGGGTACTAGCACAACCTCTTCCATTCAGGAAAAGGTGTACTGAGGGAAACAACTTGCCCTTTAGTTACCAGCTGGATGTAACTCCTGGCTGATTTTCTAGCCCAGTTAACCCTTTTGCAGTATAGATAGGGTGGATACTTGCTTCCACTGATTATTGAGGGACCTTTTTCTCCTATTGACAGCTCTGAGCCTGAGGAGAGAGGTGTGTCCCCGTATGTCCCTTCTCACTGACCTTGCTGCCAGTCTCTTCTCATTAAAGTCTGTTTGATGATCATGGATTTACCATGGGGCCTTGATGATGTGCCTCTGTGGTCACAGCAGTGCTGCTGAGGCAAGAAAGAGACCTCCAGGTGGCGTGCAGCCCACTTTCAGCTCAGGAAGTTGAGGAAGCATTGCGTTTTTGTAAATGCGCATCCTTCTTTCTTGTTTTTACACAAACACCTTGGCTCTTCGGACTCATGTATCAAGTCATCGCTGCTTTGAAATGTGATCGTTTCAGTCAAATCTCTCTGGCAAGGAGCTTCCTCATAAGAGGCATCTGACAGGTCCTGCCCAGGTGAGCCCAAGCTCTAAATATTCAAATGCGATCAGAACGTTGCAAAACCACGTTGTGTCCTGACAGGCCCAATCTTGTGTCAGGGGATGAGCAGAGAAATGCCTTCTGGCCAGAACTTGCAAAGTTGCCCCCACAGCTCTGGGGCCCAATGACTCACTCAGAAAACAGAATATACTTTTTGGATGGTGCAAATGTTGTTCCCCAAAGCACAGGAATCTGCATTGTCTGGGAATACACAAGCAAGGTGACACTCAGAGGAAACCACTGAACAGTGGAACAAACCTCATTACTTCGGACTTTTAAGGATAATACAGCCAAGGTACTTAAATGGTGTGAGACTGTTGTCTGTAAATCTATCTTCTGACACTGAAGGGACACTGGAGCTCTATGATCTGAAGGACTTGTTTACTGCAGAGCAGTTCTACTCACTGTTTTCAGCTCAAGTTCAGTCTGGTTTACCCCAGTTCTAGTAAACATAACTTCAAAATGTAACTACTTAAATAAGATTTAAGACACTCTGCTGATACTCATCTGGAAAGATGGCACCACTACAGAGGAACTTTTTAATACAGCTTAGTAGGCAATACCAACACTTGCAGGAAAGGAGTGCACAAGTCTTTTTTTTTTTCCTCCTTTTTACTGTGTGGTATCTGGATGAGGATGCTTTTTCCTGTGCAGGGGTGGCTTAGCTGCTAACTTGAGAGTAAATGCTATGCAGGGCAGAACTGTGATCGCGGCCTTTCAAGCGTCTCGAGGTAAGGAGGAATAAGCTCACAGCTCATTATGTCCAGCTCTTGGCTCTGCACACAACCACCCAAAATTCAAACCCCATATTTGAATGTGGTGCTATGACCACTGCCTGGGGAGCCCATTTCATGCCCACCACCCTCTGGTGAACAACCATTTCCTAGCCTACTTTTCACCAAGTATAATTCCAAGGATGGCAATAACCTGCTTGTTTTCTGAAATAGCCTCATTCACAGAAAGTTCAGACTCTGGACTGCCCGTTCAAGGCAAGTATTTACCCCCATGCACATCTGAGAGACCAGAAACGCGTGATGCGTCAGTATCTGAGCTGTGCATAAGGTTACTATGGTTAAACGTGTATTTTGTGATGAATATTA